ATGCTCAATAGAATCAACGAGATATTTCGAGTTAAATAAATTTAATTTAATGTGCCTACAGAATTCACGTTGGCACAAAAAAAAAATATAGACGAATTCAAAACCACTTCTTAGAAGTAGCTAAAAATTATGCCCAATTTTCTTAGTGGTTGCGTGCTATGACATATTACAAGGTGCGTTTACAAACGTATGTTGCAACATTACAATAATAGAAGTGTTAAATAGAGATTGTATTTGAAATGAACACTGTAACAGTATACAATTTAATATAATTACGTATAATAATGTTAAGAAAGGAACATAAAATTGTAACTGTTAATTGGTATTAAGTAACTTACGTCCGTAATTAGCTACGCTTAGTGATAGTACTTAGTAGATGGGTTCAGACAAAGTTGCAACAAAATGTCGGGAACGATATAGTATTATGGTGTCTTACTATATGCTTGACTATTCTACTATTCATCAGATTGTATACTTTTGAGCGACTTTTAAAATAGCAATGCTCCCAATTCGGCTAGATTTTCTGTATGTATGTCATGTTTCACGGATAAACTCAAAAACTACTTAACCGACTTTAAACATTCTTTCACATATACTGCTATACTATCAGCAAGTAAATAAGCTACAAATTATTTAAAAAAATAGAGATACCTACAAAAAACTGCAATAATCCAAAGTATTAAAAAATTACTTATTAAAGTTAATAAAAAATATTAATTTATTCTATTTATCTACCCATGCGAAGACTCACCACTTACCCTGCTATGACGGCTTACCAACTACTTTTTCAGGCATTCTTTGAAAACCTCAAGATTCCAGGTTGGAGTAAAGATGTAGGACAGGAGGTCGTTCCACATTTTTATAGTACGACCTAAAATACGACATAAGAAGAATTTGCCAAACTTAGCTGTACTTAATTTTGAGTTAAATTTAAAAATTATTCTTTCAATTACTCTCGTATTATTCGTACTATATTTTTATTATAATTGACATATTTCTTTGCACAGTAAAAATTTTTACTAACAATTATATCATAATTAAATTAAAATTAACTAAAATTATCATACCAATGTGGTGTCCGAATACAAGATACAGGACATATTGTGCAAGACTGCCCATTATATAGGTACGAGGGTAATCCAATAAACTATTTCACCCCGATCCCTTTGATGAAGAAAATAATAATGCTACGCTTATAATAATTATATATTATGTTTATAACAATTATAAGAACTTTTGATTTACCATACAATTAAAATAAATAATTGAAATTAAAACGCAGAATTACATACACATGTCTACAAAAAAAATTTGGAAATAACACAATACTGCGGTCTAAATTATTTTAAATCCAATATATTTTTTATAACGTCTTGTCGTTTATTACTGCGTTTTATTTATTTAAAATAAGAGTAGTTAAATTTTCATGATTGAAATATACAATTTACTGGAGTGAAGTGTAGTTATGTAATTGTAAATTCTGTAACATTATTTCATTGTTATTCAAAAATATTTTTATTTTGTGCACAGTAAAGAGGTTGTTATGTTATATCATTCGAGCATAAACTTCTACCGTATAGTCGTTGGTATATTGTAAGGTAAGGTACAAAAGGGTATATATAGTACTCAATTTGAACCATTCGTATAATAGTTACTTGTGAATCTGAATAGATTTAATAATGCAACGTATATATATATATATATATATATATATATATATATATATATATATATATATATATATATATATATATATATGTATGTATGTATGAACGTAATATGTATATAAGAATAATTTTTGAAACTTTTGTTACATAGTCACCTATGTAACTTTATTTTAATGAGGGAAGGGTTTTTTAGTAATGCGGACTACCAGTATCATTGCTAACGATATACCCTATTAGGTAGACCTCCCTGTTATCTACCTGGAAACCATCGTGCTAAATTCCAGATATATTCATCACGATGAGCTAACTGACCTACTCTTTTATTTAAACCTATGATTCTTTACTGGTACCCTGCCAGCGTATCCTGTTAGTGCAGGCTAGGTTACCATTGCATTATCACCCCTTAAAAAAAACTCTGTCCTTATTTGCAGTTACAAGAGCGGTTAAATTTAGTATCGGTGGTGCCTCTAGGCAAGATTTCAATTTTTAAGTGTCATACAATTATATCAATTGCTTAGTCCTCAAAACAGGGTAGTCTGTATTATAAGAAATTAGGTATCAAACATTTAAAGAATAAATCCTAGAACATCGAAACCCGAGTCAAATTGTAAAAGTTTATTTCCTTAATTTCCCCAACCTGTATTCGAACTCGTTTACGTATAATGTTGTACTACTATACTGGCGTACAGAGATCATCTAGTCGGTGGGGTGATTTTCAGCAAGTGAATAAATTATATACCGCATTTAAATAAATAAAAAAACTGTCTCATTTTGGTGAAATATTTTGCTGAAATTTGCTGAAAACGAATAATTAAACGTTTAATTCATATGACAAAATGCCATTTGATGTTCCGTTAAGAAGAATAGAATTGGCTAAGCAAGCTCCTCAATCTCTTGTATTGAAACTACTCAATGATATTTTGAGTCGGTATCCACAATTAGTCGTGTTTGCCTTCAGCTTGCTGGAGTTTCGTCTGATGACCACGAAGTGTTTGTGTTCGGAAATTAAAAATCTAATGTTATTTCTATTATTGTTATGTGAGTTAGATCTTATAAATATTATTCCATTTAATTATATATTTGTGTTATTGTACTGATGTTTTTCTGGATGAGCGTATTGGGAGACTGTAAAACTCACCCGGTTGATGAAATAAATAATTAAAAATCGCCACATGAGTAAGATTTTTATAATTACTCGTAAGTCAATTGTATATAATTTTATTCATCCACTCATTATTATGGCATGAATTAAAATAAATTAATATACATAAATTAATATAATAACTTGTACGTATTTATCGTTCACCTCAAATTAAAAATAATTAAACTTGATATGATAATGTTCAATTACATTGATTATTTGCAATTTTTTTCGTCAAAATAATGTGCTTGTGTTATTACGTTCAAACTTAAAGTAATTAAGTTTTTGATGGATGGAACGTGGTAACCGTCGCCTATAGACATGAACAGTACCATGGACATAACAGAGATACTCTTTCGCCCATTTCCACGCATGGGATGTTGCCATTCTTGAGGAATTAGGTGTTATTCCTCTGTATCATGTAAATTCACTGCCATATTCCGCCCTTCAAACCGAAACACAGCCATGCAAACACAACTGCTTCACGGTAGAAACATGAATTTTTTTTTTGATGGGTGAAAATGGTATGGTAACCCTGCCTGCGCTAACGATATACGCTGGCGGAGCACCAGTGAAGGGTGATAGATGAGAATGAAAACAGGCCAGTTAGCCTATCATGATGAATTCATCAGGAATTAACCATGATAGTTTCCAGGGAGAACCGCGAGAAGGTCGACCTGGTTAGGTATATTGCTAGCAATAGGATTCTCAGTCTCCATTACTAACAATCCCTTTCCCCCCAGAAACATGAATTGGACAGAGGTGTCCAAACAAAAGATTTTTATACAAAGTCTCCCTCTGGTAAAAGTTAATCTGAAACACTTATCTTAAAAAGGTTTAAATGATAAATTATTGCGTTTATCAATGTTATTGTTTTTATTGGGTACTAGTATTTAACTGCGACTTCGTTTGAATGATTGGAATTTGTTAATCATTACCGAGACGTATTTGCTGAAAATAACCTAATAACTATTTGTTTATGTAGCCAAATACAGTTAAGACTGTTACAATTAAATCAATTGTATATAATTTTATTCATCCACTTGTTATTATGGCATAAATTAAAATAAATTAACATAACAAACTTGTTCATATTTACTGCTCATTGAAACTCCAAAATCATTAAACCTGATATGATAATATCAAATCAAATTGTTTGTTTGCAATTTTTTTCCATCAAAATTATCTATTTTTATGTCTAATCCAGTTTATATTATTATGGTCAAACTTGTAATAATTAAGTTAATTTTAACGCTATCCTTGAAATGGTTTAATTGATATATTATTGTGTTTATGAATATATTTATTTTATAGGGTAGTAGTATTTAATCGCGACTTCGTCTGCATGACCGAAATATGTTCATAATGATTGAGATAAAAAGTAGCTTGTCCTTTTCTGTTTTACTTAATACGTATATACCAATTTTTACAACGATTTGTTAAACCGTTACCGTTTAAAATAACTTAACTTACTACTTTTTTTATACCACGAAGGTGCCAAATAAACTCACGAAGATTCTTAATAAACATTAAATAAGAATTCATATAATGATTAAATTCAAACTTTTTTTGCTATTTATTAACATTTTATTTGCGAGGAATGGTAATGTATGAAAGGAGTCATGGGCACCCTATTGTATTTTGTACAATATTCATGGTACTATTCATCTTTATAGGCGATAGTTACATTAGGTATATTAGGTAAACCGTCAAAAAAAAATTTTTGTCTGCCACTGGGGTAGCAATGAGCATATGGTCCACCTGATGGTAAGGGGTTACCGTAACCTATAAACGCATATAATACCAGGGACATTACGCGCGTTGCCACCCCGAAAGAAACCGCTCAACACTTTTTTTTGAAGAACAAAATTCTGTAGTCTCTTGAAAAGAACCTCGGCAGAGAGTTTATTTCATAAACTAAACGTTATTGAAAAGAAACATCTTTGAAACCGCGCTGTGCACGACCACCCAGGCTCTATATTATGGGGGTGAACTGTCTGTCAATAGCGAGCTGTACAATGGTAGAAAGTAATTGTGGATATCATATTGAACAATCTCTCTGAGTACAGTACGTTGTACAAGCGAAAGAATACGCAGAGTAAAGCAACATTTCTCCTAAGAATAATAGTCATTGTGTGCGTAATTACCTTTAAAATTATTTATATAAAAATTTATTCTTTTTTTATTCACAGATGGCTTTTAAAGATGCTCAGCATCCTCTGTATCCATATACTGAAGAAGAAAAACAGGAGATAAGAAAAGAGCTAGGACTGAAAGAGAGCACGATACAGGATGATATTGACGCCATTTTGGATTGGTTCAGTAAACAACCGCATCTGATTGACGCTGGAATTAGTGAGTATTAATTATGAACTACTAGCTTTTACACGCGACTTTTATTATAATAATCATCTTTACTAATCGATAGATAGACTAATAGAGAAAAAACGATACCTTATTGAAAGAAAAAATTAAATATTCCTTGTTGAAATCAGAGATATTTTTGGCGACTATATATACTATATTCCGATATTTCACAGAGTACATTAAAATCCGAATCCAGTATAGAAGAGGCATTTTCATGCCTCGTGATAACCTTCATTCTAGTTTTAAAAAATACAATATTTCAAGGTTTCATTATATAAATTTAATAAGTCATTTTACTATTATAATGACAAACAAGCATACGGCTCGTCTGATGGTAAACGGTTACGGTAGCTTCTGAACTTTTTCGTACAATGAACCAGTATAATGAACTTGTTATTATATAGGATAGACCTTCAATTTATAAACTGACGATTTTTGTCAGAAACCACACATTTCATACACCATGAAGTCTACTATAACAATTCAATCGAAAGGACTTCTGACAAATATAATAAAATTGTAACTAAGTGATATTTACACATCGCAGTGTTCCTTATAGCGGTCTATGAGGGTTGGCTATGTTCGGCAGTAGATAAATAATGATTGAGATGATGATGATGATGATCTCTAATCATAGGAGATATTTAAAAAAAATTATGGAAGGGGTCTTAATAAAATCAATAGAAGACAAAACAATAATTTAAAAAAAATCTGTCTATCTGCATATTTATTCTGGCATTATGCAAAAACTACTGCATAAAATTAGATGCAGTTTTCACAGATATATTCTTGAAGGTCTAACGTAAAATCTAATGTACATCTCATCCTGATACGCCATCTAAAAGTAATCTTTTATATTGGTTTTCTTACTCCTGAAATCTACGCGTAGGAAGTAGCGGGCGAAAAGTTAGTTTGACCAATAAATTGTTTTAATGAAATATGACGACATTAATGTTACTACAAATAATATAGTTAACAAATGTAACGATATTAGTAATCTTGTGTGGTTATCTTCTTAGGTATTGTTACTTTGTCTTTACTATATTTTATATGTTTATGATATCATTTATTTATATCATTATTCTAGCTATATTCTGAAGCTTTGCTCGGGTTAATTATCACACAAAGTATCCTATATTCTAAGTTATAATATAACATATGATTTTTGAAAAATAACAAACATACATATATCCATCCATCTATCCCTACAAACTTTACATAATATTAATAGGATGTAATATTAAAAGATTATAATGTGCAACAAAAATTATAAATTCAGATCGTGACAAAATTTCCGTTAACTTAATATACGAGTACACCGAATTTGATATTTTTGTCAATTCAATAGAATTCGTATTTGGCTAAAAAAAAACAAGTATATAAAAACAAGTGATTTGGAAATTTCCTCCTTTTTAAAGTCACAAAAATACTTAAAAGTATTTCTAACTCATTGGTTACTTTAATAGAATTATTTTGTTTAATTTCCCTGCCATTAGTATGTGTGTGTGTCAATAATTTGCCTAATGAGCCCTCGTTTAGAAGTGAAACACGTGTCGCAAAATGTGCGTGAACAAAATAGCGGTCGGAGATTGATCACTAATATGGAAAGTTGTGGATCTTCTGATGGTAACAGTGGTAGTCAATATTCAAGTATTAGTAGTCACACATATATTCGTAGTGGCGGATTAAACAAAATATATATGGTAACTCTATTTAAATAACCAGTGATATGGACTTCAGCAGAAAATACCTAGTTCAGCAAAAAAAGCCAGACATTCTAGGAAATGAATTCCTAAATTCCCACAGTAACTGGATAATAGTTTTAGGAATGTAACCGCAAAAATAGTTTAGTTTAATATTTACATTTGTAGGTCGAGCGATTATCGAGAGGCTGCTCATCATATCTAAAGGGTCATTAGAGAAAACAAAACAGAAAATAGACTGCTTTTACAAATACAGATATTTGGCACCGGAATTGATACAAAACAGAGAACGAGAGCTATGTGATCACCAAAAAGATATCTGGACTTTTATGTGAGTATTTTATATATAGATTTTTGGTATATTGTACAAAAATATGATTTTAAATGTAATAAAAAATATTTAATTACTTTGGATAACTACAGAAAATCATATCTTTTGAGAAGGCAACTAATTTAACTCATTGATTATATCATAATAAAATATATTATAAAATCTTAAAAGGCCAACAACACACTTGCGATACTTCTGGTATTGCGGATGCTCATGGGCAGCGGTACTCACTTACCAGTAGGTGAACTACATGTTCGTATTCGTCCCTGAGTTATGTAAAAAAAACTCTCCAAGTAGAATAAAACGAAGTCTCTCTCAGTGATCTTTTGTTTGCCCTCTTACTTCTTCTAAATTATTCGACGGATTTTCATACGTTACAGTATTATTTTACATATTTTTTTATTGAAGATTGGTATGTACGATAACTTCTTATTTAGTGTTTTGCACTAAATTGCATCTATTTAGAGTGTCTTAGATTTCAATTTTGACTATAAAGTATTTTATAAGATATGATCAACAAAATTAGACAAATAAAAATTAAATACAATTTTTAATTGTATAAAATTATAATTAATTAAACATGTCTAAATTAATTTAAATCTGTAATTATTCCGTGATTAGAAGACATAAAAATTAACAATACGTTTTAAGTGTCTTACAAGCCTTTCGCTTTTCTAACTCTCCATTTTATAGCTATTGTATTTATTCATTTTGATTTTGTAAAATCATTGAACATAATTAATGAAATATATAATAATAATTTAACAAATATTTCATCAATTTTGTAATATATAATAAATATAAATAGATTACTATATATCGTAAATAGGTTAATAGATTATGAAACTTAAAATTAACACAACGAAAGCCTATTAAGCATTGTTCTTGTTTGTTAAATCACTATTTTGTTGATTAAACTATTTCCATACCCTTGTTAATTTTCAGACGTCAAGCGGCAATGCCTAAACTATACAAAGGAAATAGAGTATCAGTATTCAAGTTTATGGAGTCAGATCCATGTAAATTTAACACCGACGCGTTATTCAGAAATACATTTATGGTAAGTTTAATTTATTGTTTTGCAAACGAGGAAGGTGGGTGATTATGATAAAATTAGCTGTATCAGGTAGCTTTGTCTGTGGTTGTGATAGGTCGTGATCGTGATATTGAATAGCCTATAACCTTTCTTAAGAAATAAGCAACCAAATTGCGAGAAGAATTTTTCAAATTTGACTGGTATTTCCAGAGATCAGCGCGTTCACATGAACAAACTCTTCCGCATTATTGTATTGATGATATCAGCCGTACTGCCCACTGTTGACCATAAGCCTCCCTCTAGGGAGTTTCGCCAATAGTTGCCATGCATTACCAGCAGGTTGACAACAGCAGTTAAGCTTTGGTGATATTTTAAGGGGGACGCTGTTGCCCATCCCTTGACCATTTTGTGATCTTAGTCGCCTATTACGATACCCATAGGAAAAGAAGGAGTGTCCTATTCTATGCCGGGACCATACGGCGAATTTTTTATTTTATTTGCCCTAGTATCTTTTGCTATGTACCATAAGTTGACTTTTATGATATTTTCGGAAAGGGACTTGATGATATATTGCATTTTTACTCTATAATTACACGAATGTTATTAGGATGGTAATTAGGGGCTCAGTTTCTCTAAATTCGCTTATTTCACCTTCCCTTTTTCGATATTGCACCACAAGGATAGACTAGCGACTGCATCTCTACACGGCCGACTATCCATGCTCATAAATAAGTTTGCGAACTTTTACACGAACCATACCGTAACATGTGGATTGGGTTTTCCCAGAATATGTTCACTTCATCCTATTTTGGAACCTACAAATGTAAAAAAATATTTAGTGAATTGGCATAGTGCGATCAATTGTTGAGAGGAGAACATTTTCTTTTTAATTGTATTGTATTTATGGACTATATCGTTTCTGTCATTCGCTTCGTTCGCTCAAGATGGTACGGTCACACGTAATTACAAAAAAATTTTTTTTTACCTATTCTATCTATCTTAAGGTTTTACTTATTCTATCATTATTACACAAACAATAAAGAACAATGACCACTGTCAGTATTATAAAGAACCTATATTATATTTACAATTTATCATTATACAGTCTTGTGTTATTCCTTTATTGTTTGTGTAATATGATAGAATAAGTAAAGTCTATTCTCTCCACCTAAACTTGTTATTGCGGTCATAAATATAGATTTATCATTTCTGAGCTGTTCTCAGGTGTACTGTATCTTGTACATTCATCTTTAACCTTACATAGGAACCTAAACTACTACAATGTTATTAGAGCAGAATATTTTCCTCTATAAAATTTTATAAATAAATAGATAAAAGCATAAAATGCGATATTAATACCTGTAATATATATTTTCTTTTGAGTCATTTTATTAGGTTATACGTAAATTATCACATTCTCCTTTAGATAGCTATTTAAATTATAAGGCATGGTCATTGGCAAGTCTTCAAGATTTTTCGTGAGGCTTTCTTATTATTTGACTTAGTTACATTGTACACTTCAGAATTCATATTAATAAGTTGTAAAATTGAAATTAACAGTATTTATCTTCTAATATTATTTCTGAGTTTTAATCCCTTATGAGTACATTAAAAAATCTACTACTATCTAATTAAAAGGCTTGGGAAGAGGAAAAAGTATTGTTACAAATAGGATCTAGCAACCAATTTACTATAAGTTTATGCCGTTTAATCTACCTTCTTAGATCTATTCATTTATTTTTTATTTATGAGTTGGACTATTATCGATGGAGCCCTTACTATACTCGCCGTGATTATCAAAAACTCTCTTTGTACCTTATAATGTTTATAAATTCATTGCGCTATTAGTTTACGCTGTCGGAGTACAAGCGAGGGATAATAGATGAGACAATAGACATAAAAATTGGCCCGTTGCAACGAATTCACCAGGAATGAATCACGACGATTTCCACAGGGAGCGCATGAAGTTCAACTTGTCAGGGTATATTGCTAGTAGTTCTTTCCATTTAAGAGTTTCCTCTTGTCGGTGCAACTAATTCATGCATCTTTTTCTAGCCAGTTCTATCTCAGGCTATATCCTTTACCTCCCTATACGACATGACACCTAGTGTTTCTTTTATTGCTAGTATTACCATTAGTAAATCAGCTAATCATAACATTTGAGCTTAATTAATTTTTAACTACCGTGACTCGTACTGTATTATAATTATTTATGGCGAATTTACTCACTTTTGAAATTTGAGGATGCCCGACTAGTTTATAACTGCGTCGCGAGTAACACTCTGTGATTGATGCGTAAACCGCGCTTATAAATAAGAGCTTATATTAAGTTCGAAAATAGTCTGGCATCAATAAATTTAAAATATAAATGAAATCGATATAAATAATTAGAAATTACGCAGTCAGGCTCGTGCTCGTATCACAATCACTCATGACTATGGATCACGAATTGATTCCAAAACTAGTCAAGTTTTTCGATCTAATTACACGTAAGTTAAACCGGTAGTTATTATATTAAAATAGAAATTACGTCATTCAGACATTTGATTTAGACACATCTGAACAAGTAAAGCAGAATAAAAGCTTGCATAAACTAATTTTATACCACTTTCAGTTGATTACAGCACTCGTTTACCTATAGCTTAATTAGCTAATGAGTATTGACATATTGCGTTAACTATTACAACTGGGTAATTTAGTTGTGGTTAGCGGCCTACCAATAAGTAAATTTCACAGATTAAATCTCATATTCTAATTTGTTTATGGTAAATATAAATGTTATAGACAATTTGAAAATTACTACTGAATTGTATTTAATATTATGTATATTTATATATAAATTATCTTTTATTAAGATTATTAGTTAGCTACTTTAAAATTTTGATATAATAAGACACTGAAACTATAAATATCATTATAAAATTTAATATTGTAATATTTATAAATCAAATAATATGTTTATATTTATACTGTTTACAGTTTTTTAAGCTTTCCAAGATTTAGAATTCTGTAATTAAAATTTTATTTCCAGCTTACAAATTATCATCTGCGTTAATTTACAATATATCTATATTTACCTTATCAATAATTTACTGCTTATTTTATTCTGATTCTTGATATAACGTTTCTTGGAATTAAGATTTCAATTCATTACAGAAAATCTATAAACTTATTACTAAATTGAAATTACTAGATTAAATCAGAATTCATTTACTACGTTTATACTTATTAATTTCATGCTTGTATATTTGGTAAATGTAAATTAGTTAAACCGTTACTGCAGTCTAGTAAACGAGCTATCAGCTTGTTTATTATTCTGATATTTGCAACAAAAATGACAATTCTATAAACTCTAAATATAAATAGAAAGATATAACTTCTAAAATCAATAATACAATAACAAATACATCATTAATATAAAAAAAATACTGTTTATCTATACAGTGTTTAACAACATTCTAAAAGTTATTGTTTTAAACACCTTACATTTTTAATAATACAGACGTTCTTTTGTTTAGACTTAAACAGATGTTTAACATGTTTTTATAGTAAAACGCCTGTTTAGACTGATATTGAATACCTGTTTAGGTATTCAATATCAGTCTATTGTAGTTTAATTTTTATGACAAGACAGCTTAAGTCCTTTGGTTGGGCAAAATATAACTGGAACAATCTTATTAAAATGATTAAACCTTGAAAAGGTTACTTTCAGCAATAAGGCCATCTTGTTACATTACATGTCTATATATACATATAATTATGTTTTTGTCTTTTTTTTCTATAATAATATTTATCAAGCAATAAATTGATAAGCAAAAAGAACCTTGTATGCTGGTGGTTTTTTTTTCTGGGAATCAATCCGTAAGGTTTTTTTTTTCCGCTAAATAAATATTATTACTGAACGAATGTAAATTCTGTGTGCGGGATTACAGCTCCTCTAATCGAATGAATCTTTCCATTGCTTTTATTTCTTACTTTGAATGCAGGTTTAATCGAGATTTATTTTAGCTACGTTTGGAAATCGGTTATCCGTTTCTTTTATATTATGCGTCGGATTTATTTTTAATTTTAAATAAATTTTACTTATTTCAGCTAGGTGATATAAGGCTCACATACGATTACATGCTTGGCGATATTTGGTTATTGGATATAAAAGAAATCGGCGTCGGTCACGTGCTTAGAGCGAACCCAATAACAATGCAAAAAACTGCGCAAATATTTCAGGTTAGTAAAATATAATCAATTATTAATTTATTTATATATATATAATTATTATTAATTTATTTATATATTGTAATATAGATCATCATCATCTTATCAGCCGTTAACTGCCCACTGCTGGACTATGTTCAGTTCCTTTTATTGAAAGTTTTGCCAGTAGTTGCTACGCTTGGTGGACGGATTGGCAACCACAGTTAGGCTTTGGTCATGTTTTATAAAGGACGCTGCTGCCCATCCCTCGATCATTATATTCCTTTAGTCGCCTCGTACTATACCCGCTGGAAAAGGCCCATATTATGCTGGGACCATAGAGGAAATTTAATATAGATATTCGGTTATAACGAAAATGTACAAAAGCAGACTTATCCCTTAAAGGGAGTTCAACATTTAGAACTGGAAAGAAGAAATTATCTAAAGGATTTGTATAAAACATAATAAATACGATAGAAAAATAATAAAATATAGTTATTATCATTCTTTTAGTATTAAATTTGTATTTACTAATAATCATGTATGATATTCATTATACACAATGGCCTTTTACATAATTTACCGGACAACTTTACGTGCCCTCAGAACAATGAACAAATATAGCTATAATACCTACGATCAGATTCAAATATTTAGGCTAAGATCAGATCAAAGAGATTGTCAGCCTCAATAAAATAGTCTTTTGAACTTTTTATGACTATGATTGATGAGTAAAGTCCATATCAACGGTTACCACTTGGCAACCGATATACTGACAAATTTAAAATAAAAAGTTGTTCTTTTTAAGGGCCATTAATTTAAATACTATTACGAGACAGGTGTTATCAAAATATACGTAAACTAATGTAACACGTTCGACCTGTTTAGTAAATATAATTTAAATGGGTACTTCGATATGTAAATTACCGAAGTTTAATTTTAGGATGGCATGGGCCTTCGGGTTGCCGCTATACACGTGTTGAATGCGCCAATATTAGGCCAAACAGTTCTAAACTTCATGAAACAATTCTTCAAACCCAAGATCATGGACCGGGTCATGATTCACAACTCAGTGGAGGAACTACACAAATATCTACCTAAACGGTACTTGCCTAAGGATTATGGAGGTGATTTGCCGTCTTTGGAGGAGTTTAAAGGTAAAAATTGTATACTATAACTCAATGGGGGAGAAAGAGATTTTTAGTAATGGTATTTAACAACCCCATTGCTAGCAATATATTCTGTCAGTTTGACATCTACCCAGTCCAATTGTTGCTCAGTCATGAAAAAATAAATTTTAATATGACGTACACTAGAATTTAGTTCAAATCATGACAAATATAAATGCCTACAAAAAAGGTTTCATTTTGATGTGGAAATTCCATCGAACTGTACCAAATTTCCGCGTAGTAACTAATATCTGTATTTCTAAAAACCCGTTTTGTTTATTTATTTGGTTTACAACTATTTATATTTAAAGGTCATAATACCTATCTATAGATATACATACATTAGCTGATGGGTGGTATTGATCAAACAGATTGGGTTATTGTATTAAAGGATATACAAATTCTCAGACTCAAAACATACTCTTCGTTAGGTTAAAGTGAATAAAGGAACAAATGTAGAGTAGAAATGTAGCATTCATAACGATTTATTAAAAAAGTGTTTTCCAAAAAAAGTTAATTAAGACAATACTTTCGAAATCGTTCAATAAAAATTTTATGGCATAGAAATTTCAACCATCGTCACGAAAAAGAAGGTTTAAATTGGACTGATTTTTTTTATGGCTATGTAACGAGATATTTTCATTAATTTTGACGATTCTTTTTTAATTAAAAGAGTTACAACGAATTTATATAATACGAATTTTGTTAGAATAAAAGTCGATTTTATTGTAACAAAATAAATATAAAAAAGAAATATTTTTAACTAGCATCAAATAATTTTCTTTATCTCAATAATCATCCAGAGTAACAGAATATAATAAAACAAAAAGTCAGTCAGTCAGTCATTACAGAGTCAACACGCCCAAACAACCAGTAATGAGTATTTGATAATTAATTTAAGAATGATTTAATTTTTTTTATATATAATTTTGTCGCTCATAACCCACTTATTACTAAGCACTCGAATTCATATTTATAAAGACAAATAACCCTACGGCGTACTTGATCAAAAGTGATAAATATCTCTTATAGATATAAAAAGCACTACGGATATATTTACATAATTGTTGCTATATTTTAAAAAAGAAATAAATTATTTGTCAGCCTTGCTCTTACTTCCTTATCTACTAAGGTGATAGTAATTGTTCTCCTTCTCTCCTCCTCTCTCATCTCCTACATTCATTTATCATTTTTCATCATTCATTTCCTTTGACTCCTTAACCCAACTAGGCGTAATGAAATTTGGTGTCCCTGTAATATTTGGCATGGAAAAAGGCATACGCTATTTATTATCCGCGGATAAAATTTATATGAAATGCATTTATGATTTGATTTTAACAATATTTTTTATTATTTTATTTCCAGATAATTACGAGAAAGAATTTAGAAGTAGTAAAACAAAGCAATACTTACTAGACTGCAGCAAACTGGTATCAAATGAAAGCAAACGTCCTGGGTCCGATATATATGACAATTACATGTCCGGATCTTTTAAAAAGCTAGAATTAGATTAAAAATGATTAGTGGAGCTGATTATCAAGTGTACCGGGATGATGCTACTACATAAAATATAATACATAACTTTAAAACAGCACTACTTATTTTATAACACATTACGAGTACATTTTTACATGTGTTATAAAATATATAGAAAATACAACTACACAGATTTACAATAACTGCAGTTAGTTATACAGAAAACAGCTCCAGGACTCCAGAAGGTATCTGAAAAGAATCCAATGCGAGCAATGAATGTATTATAATAATTATTGGTATTTTTTGTAACTACGCTAGCATAATTTTATTACTTTGTACCTTGTACCTATCTCTGGGTTTAATATTAAGATTTTTTTTTATATTATGTGTTAAAAGTAGCCTTAATAGACAATGTTATGTAAGTACTTATTATTTATTACTTTCTTATATAATTAATTATATAAAGTAAAATTGAAATCATCAATATCATTTTTAAAAGAATACTTTATCAGTGAAATTAAAGACTGTAAAACAAAAAAGGATTCCCTAAAAATGATATTAATGATTCCCAAAACAAAACATGGATTGAAAAGTGATAAAAAAAAATATTCCCCATACTAACATGGCGCGTACAGCTGTCAAGTTAATATGGGATGTTCGAAACTTTTGATATATTTACACAATGGAATGAAACGGTTTAAATTTAATAATGTTTTTTTTTTAAGTATGGGTTGTTAATAAATGTTACAAAATAAGAGTTACCATTTTGTTCGTTTTAGAATAGAATAAATAATGATTAATGTTTCTTGTTTAATTTTAAATAAAAATAAAATGTAGCAAAGATATAAGAGTTAAAGTAATTAAACAATCAATCAATTATTTATTTTGTGTACGATATCATTATGATGAGGACTAAGGTCTTATAGGTACATAAGGTCGTTTTATGCCTTTCTACCTTGTAGCCTCACTGGCGTATTCTACTTTACAAATCGAATATAGCCATGCAAATAAATGTCTCGCGGCTGTAACACGAGTGGGACGAACATACTCAAGCGAACGAGTTTTGCACGAAATCTCGCTGTGGTAAATTACTTCAATTTATATTTGAAATTTCAATAATTCTTATAATAAATGTCATAATCAGTTAAAAATAAGAGATATCTAGAAGCAGAACACCCAGCCATGTACAAGTTTAGAAAATTTTTAATTAAAAATTACCCCATCCGAGAATCGAATTTTAGGCTTTATTTATGTACATACGGCATTAACAAGGAAGGGCTTTGTGGTCCCAGCATAGAATGATAGCCCCAGTATAGGATAGAATATTCCTATCTCATGACAGTCGTAAGAAACGATTTAGGAAATTAATAGGAAGGAATTCGAGGAACAGGCTGCAGTGTCCTTCTTAAAACATTATCAAAGCCTAACTGCGATTGCCAAACGTGGCAAAATCTTTATGGAGGAAGTCTATATACAGTAGACAGTTAACGGTTGTATGCTGATATAATGATTTTTATTCTCTTTATTTAGGTCAACAAACAGTAGACACAATAATATATATATATATATATATATATATATATATATATATATATATATATATATATATATATATATATATATATATCAATAATTTTATTGCCACCAACGACGTTGACCACCTATTACTGGAAAACAACAAAATATATAAAATGGCTGTGAGCACAACTACTTGTACAAAATCAAACATATACACATACATGAATGACAGAAATGTAAAGAGGTGCGTACCAGTGATCCACTCAAAATCAAAGAACTTCCAAATTTGTATTATAATATTTTAAAATTTAAAATATATTTACCAGCAATAAATAAGTAAATATAACACCAACAACAAAATATCATTCCTCAACCTCAAGTAGACCACCGATAAGTCTCCCGAATGCACCAACACATTCTGAAATAATATCAACGGAGTTGAAATTTGAGATATAAGCGTTAACAATGCGATTAATGGGCGAGCGTTTACCCACGTTTGTGCGACAGAGTGAGGTAGCAAACAATTGATGTAGATTACGCCGAGAAGCTCTGTAACATAACTTGTTGTTGAGCTGAACACAATCATACCTGCAGTGACATAGGTCGTGCAAGAACATTGCCTCACGTTTGAGACGCCTATTCTTCAATGATATCAACAAGGAGCCTCTCAAGGTCGCCAAAGTTGTTTATACATTGAAAATAATCTTATTAAGTTTTATTACCACTAGTTACCTAGTTATTTGTGACAAAAAATATTAAGTAAGGTCAACAGGATACGGTCGATAAGGCGATCATACCCTAACTACGAGTATGATATAAGAGAATATTGATAAAAAAAATACCTAGTTTTAATATGCTGGTAAAAGCATGATACAAATACTAGATGGACATCTCATTTTGTATGTATTATAATGGTATTCGTATGTAAGGTAAGACTCCGCCTGCACTATCGTTTTGCACTCTCGCAGCATCAGCGAGAGATAATAGATGAGAATAAAGTCAGGGCAGTTGGCCCAACGTATCGAATTAACGACGAATTAAACAATATAGTTTCCAAAATCATGTAAATCACCAAGAGGTTGACCTGACAGGGTATATTGCTAACAATGGGGCAATAGTTCCTATTACTAATAATTATTTTTACTCCTCTCATAGTAGGCATATCATATTCTGACAGAAGTAGGACATTAGTAGCAAAATATGAGTATTAGCATGCATTACAAGAGTACCGGTAACTGACGATATGCGAGGATACACTTAGATCAGGTAATCCATCATGACGTATTTGTAATAACATGGTTTCCAGGGCGAGACAGCAATATAGCCAATAGCACCCTGTTTAAGTTATAACATAAGAAAAATGACAATTTCTCCAAAAATTTAGGGAAAAAAGTCGTATTGTTGTAAAAAACAAAACATTAGCTTATTAAATATTGTCCTACAAAAATGAAATGCAATATAAATAAAGGATTCCTCAAAAAGAAAACGAGCCCTGTAAACGTTTCCACTCACTCATATCCGCGAATCTCTTTATCAATGTCTCAGAAAGGAATAAACATATCCATTTTTTTCCTAAACGATTCATCTTTCTCAGACTCTTTGTATCGGCTGTGTAGGAGACATAACAAATAAAATATTATTTTCTAAGTTCAATGATCTAAGCTTGAACGTAACAACACTAACTATAGCCCTTTTACATAAAATTATTATAATACTAATATTAAAAATAAGGTATGTATTGCAGTTTGTATGTATTTGTCACAAACATTAGTCGACTATTATATATAATAGTTAATGTAGTAGGCTCTAGCATTTTACTTTGTATTATTTTTTAAAATATTGTATTATAGGTGGAAGATTTTAGTGCACATGTATATATCAATTATTACTAGTACTGCATTCATGTATTCTGACACTTCCATAAGGTTGACTAGGAGAGAATACTTTTAGTATTAAGTCCGCCTTGTATATATACATGTACTAATAAATAAATAAAATAAATAAATAGATCTTTGCTTTGCCTTACCTTCAATGATTGCTAGTTCAATTACCAGACAATACGTTTGTGTTGATGTGTATTTAAATAAGTACGAACGTAAGTATTTATAAATAAAAATTAATTAAACTATGAACTGTACAATACCATAGTATAAGCCCTGCTTTATTTCAGGCTAAATGGCTCTTAAATATGTCACACGTCTAAGGTCATTTATTATTTTAACATTCTTTTTGTTGTGTCGGTACATTCTCGTTGATTCCTTGTATACTACATTATTTACGAATACAGTATTTAACAATAAATACACGTTCAAGCTTATTAATCTTATTGACGTCATTTAAACTTGACCTAGTAAATTTTGCGACAGTTTATATTATGTATTACCTAAAATGTATTTGTAAATTCACAGTATTTCCTTATAAGGAGTCTTTTAAACGATTTCTGTATTTTAACCTTGTAGTTCATTGTATTGCCTCGCGAATTTTGCCATGAATCCGTACATTGAACTCGTAATTAATCAATAAAAATATTATTAATGTGGACAATTTTTTTTTTTAATAAGATGAAAATGGAATGTTGATTCCGTATACACTATTTGTTGACGGAATACTAATGAGTGATGATAGATGAGAATGAAGTCAGGTTAGTTAGCCCATCGTGGCGGATTAATTAGAAATTAACCTAGATGGTTTCCAGAGGCACAGCGTGCAGGTTGACCTGATAGATTTATTTTAGAAATAGGTTTTACCCGTGATTTCGTCCGCATTCCTGCAATATGTTTATTGAATATAATAAAAAATTGCTTTTACATTTAGAAATATTTAGAAAAGCCGTTTAAATCTTTCTTATATATGAGACATCGCCTCCGATAGATTCGTTTATCGCTTGTCTGGAAGGCTAGCAAGAAAATATTGAAATTAGTCTATCAAGTACCTTATATGGAACTCCTATTAATTTTGCTTAACGGAATATCTGCTCTCCATAGTTCGTTAAGCACAATTCAATGCACGGCCCATTTCCGAACTAATTGAGTGCGCTCCAATGTCGTGCGTCCCGATCAATCAGTGGATATTCTGATTATTGGATATTTGCGTCCATTTATAGATGTACTACACCTTTCCTACATGTTCTTAGATTGTGTTGTATGTTTTCTATGTATAATATGTATTAAATTAAAATATTTAAGTATGTCGATCAGTTAACTGGTATCCATAGGGGGACAAGGGATTATTAGCAATGGATTTGACAGCCCTATTGCTAGCAATATGCCCTATTAGGTCGACCTCCATGTGGTTCTCTCTGGAAACTATCATGAACAATTCTTGTTGAATTCCTCACGATGAGCTAACTGATCTGCTTCATCTACACCTATCATCCTTTACTGGTGCCCCGCCGGTGTATACCAATAGCGCGGGTGGGGTTACCATTCCATTATCACCTATTAAAAAAAACTAGTATCCATTGTATAAACTCTGCTTAGTTTGGGCCTACATAGGGCTGTGTATTTTATCCAATGGCATTTATTTATTTATTATATATTTTCTTTGTTATGATTTTACGTGCTATAGTTATATTGATGCTTATACCAATTTCAAGATGTATCTCAATTCAATTATATTTACATAGTTTTGTCAGTCAGAGATACATAGATGGCTAATATGGAAGGTTGTGAAACTTCTTGTAATAATAGTGGTGATCAATCTTCGAGTGTTGGCAGTCACACGCATATACTATTAGCAGCATTGAAATAATTCTAATCAAATAACCAATAAGGTGTTATGCTTCCGCATCCTGTTCTTACTACTAGCTAGCATCTTACTATTATACCCCTTAGTAACCTTAGACCATTAAAGTAAATTTTATTTTACTCTTAAAAAGAAAGTAGGGCATGCGGTCATTCGACAGTCATATACCCGTTTATTGTATTTAATCGTAACAGTATTGTTGCACTTTTTATCATGCAGTATTGTTCCTACTTTTGTGAGTTGT